TGGATATATAAAACAAAGACAGATATTTTCAGACAAGTGTGTGGAAACAATTGATGGGTTCTGTAGACAGGCTTATAGGAACTATGTAAGCTCCTCAATACTCCCTCATCCTCTGTTACCCTCAGTCTATGAAAGCCTGATGCCACTAACAAACTTTGGCTATTGACCATCAGTCAGTAGTCCACATGTGTTGTTACTGGCTCCGAGCAGCAAGTCCATCGCTGCAGGACAGCAAACACCCAGCAAATGCATACATAGACAGATTCAGCCCTGGGACATAGACTTCACCATATAAAGAGAGCTCTACTTTCCTCATTTTATGTAATCCCTATGTGAAAAGCAGACAAACCTTTTATCTACTGATTCCTACCACAGATTCCTGCAACAGCCGTGGCTGGTCCAGGCCTACGCAAGAAACCCAGAACTTGGCCTATTTGCTTTAGATGGATGGCTCCTCCTTAAACAACTGCTGTCACATCTGTGGTATACATTAGCAGGAAGCTGGAACGGAAAGCAGCCACCACAAACAACCTCTTCAACAAAAACTCCACCCCAGCTTCTCCTGATGAAGGCAGAGCTCACAAATCGTGAACTGATTTTATGTGCATATTTTATTTCAAGACTTTCCACCACCACTTTATCTCTTTCTGGTACTCTGAGTCACTCACAGCATCAGAGACCCCAAAGGGCAAGCCTGGTAGCCTGGTGGGTAAATAGCACATCCTAGACTTGGTGCAGTTAGTGCCAGCCGCTGAGGCACTTGAAACATGAAACATAAAAAGGAAAGCAAGTCAATAAGACTTGCATGTAAAAGAAACAGTACAAAATGTGCAGACATAAAAGGTTGTGAAAGGAAATGACATATTCTTGGAAGAGATATTTGGACTTGGCTGAAGCAAAAAATGATGACATGATTTGCAGCAACAGAGATTTGCAAAGTTCAAAAGCAAAATGCTCCATACACCCAAACACTGTCTGTGGGAGTGAAATCAGCGTACTCTCTCGGGTGGGCCATTTAACAAAACTTACCAGCATTTAAAATGAACACTGCCCTGCCTGAGTAATCGCCCTTCCATAGTTGCTACTTGGAAAAGGACACCCGGATGCATCAATAAGGACATTCATTGCCTCTCCTTACAGAAACCAAAATGCAAACCACAAAAGGGATACTACTGCAAATGTCCATTGATAAGGGATTGACTGGTGAGGCACTTTATGACCAATCCACTCCATGAAGTGCTGTGTAGACACTGTGAAGAGGAAGGCAGGTCTATAGGAGCCAAAATGGGACTACCCACAAGATATTAAGTGAAAAAAGCAAAACATGGACAGGATTTTTTTTTCAGATTTATTTTATTTCTTATTACAAAGTTAGATATACAAAGAGGAGGAGAGACAGAGAGGAAGATCTTTTGTCCGATGATTCACTCCCCAAGTGACCACAATGGCTGGTACTACGCCGATCGCCGATCCCAAGCCAGGAGCCAGGAGCCTCGTCTGGGTCTCCCACGTGGGTGCAGGGTCCCAAAGCTTTGGGCCGTCCTCGACTGCTTTCCCAGGCCACAAGGAGGGAGATGGATGGGAAGTGGAGCTGCCGGGATTCGAATCGGTGCCCATATGGAATCCTGGGGTGTTCAAGGCGAGGACTTTAGCTGCTAGGCCACGCCGCCAGGCCCAACAGGGTTCTATAGTAGTATCTTGATTGGGTTGAAAATCTTTAAGTGTGTTATATACATAGTACATACACAAATCATACATGCAAACACACATACATATGCTTTTTATATACCTAGAAAATGTCCAAAAGATATAGGAAAAAGGATATTTCATATTTTATAATTACCATGCTCCAAACTTATTAAAACAAGATCATGAAGATCATGTTATTACTTGTTTGACCAATAACAACAACAACCACAAAAACTAAACAAACTTTTTACAGCAAACATCATAGGCTTTATCCTATAGACAAAATTATCCCAATACAGGAACTTTGAGCACAAAAATTACTGAGCTCAAGAATTACTGGGCCTGGCTCGATAGTGTAGTGGTCCAAGTCCTCGCCTTGAACGCGCCAGGATCCCATATGGTCGCTGGTTCTAATCCCGGCTGCCCCGCTTCCCATCCAGCTTCCTGCTTGTGGCCTGGGAAAGCAGTCGAAGACAGCCCAAAGCCTTGGGACTCTGCACCCATGCAGGAGACCCAGAAGAAGTTCCTGGCTCCTGGCTTCGGACTAGCTCAGCTCCAGCCATTGTGGTCACTTGGGAAGTGAACCATCAGACAGAAGATCTTCCTGTCTCTCCTCCTCTCTGTATATCTAACTTTGCAATAAAAATAAGTAAATCTTTAAAAAGAATTACTGAATAATTGGACCCAGCACCGTGGCCTAGTGGCTAAAGTCCTCGCCTTGAATGTGCTGGGATCCCATATGGGCACTGGTTCTAATCCCGGCAACTCCTCTTCCCATCCATCTCCCTCCTTGTGGCCTGGGAAAGCAGTCGAGGACGGCCCAAAGCTTTGGGACCCTGCACCCATGTGGGAGACCTGGAAAAAGTTCCAGGCTCCTGGCTTCGATCAGCTTAGCTCCAGCTGTTGTGGTCACTTGGGGAGTGGTTCATCAGAAGGAAGATCTTCCTCTCTGTCTCTCTCTGTCTCTCCTCCTCTGAGTATATCTGACTTACCAATAAAAATAAAATAAATCTTTTTTAAGAGAGAATTACTGAATAACAAACACCTATACTATAACCAAATATCCTTGAGGTAGTTGGTCGCATTTCAAGTGTATTGAAGACCGCTATCTTGGTAAATTTTTTAAAAGGCCAAGTTCCAATTCAAGTTCTGCCATTTTCTTGACCTCAGCAAATTATAAAGCCACTCAAGCCCCAATTTCCTCCTTTAATGAATGGACATAGGAAATAGCAGCTACTGCCTGAGTAATAACAAAACACCCAGCTGAGCTTCAACTCACAGCACACCCTAAAGAGTAACTAGAGGCAACCCAAGTTCCAGCACTGATGTGTCCCCTGAAATCCAATAAGAAAGTTCTAGATCCTTGTCCCCATTATTTCTCAATCCAACACAGTCAATTCCTTTCATTCCTCTCCAGATGAATGCTATCGATTTGTTACATCACAGATCATTTGCACTGAGGTTTTGCTATAGGCTCGAAGTAAGATAAACACTGGCATGTCCTGTGATAAGCATCAGAAGATCAGAAAGGCCCTGGGAAAGGAGGAAATCTCTGGATCTACACTCAAACACAGCCTCCCTCTCCCAGGCACGGCTCCGGGACCTTACACTGTCAACACTGCCCTAGCAATTCCCGAAAACACGGTTGTCAGACGCACCGCCAGGCTCTGAGCACAAATACTGCAACTGAAGATGAGCAGTTCACATCTAAAAAACACTTGGCACTTACTACAAAACTGCTCCAATGGGACCAGATTAAAACTAAAGACACAATCTTCCCTTCACCCAGTACTGTGAAGTTTGTCAAGGCAAGCTGAGAGCAGCTGCCTTCTAGGTCTGGTCCCCAGCAGCCAGGGCTGGGCCTTCTGCAAGGCTTCAGACTCCCCAGATACAAGAACCCGTCACCCCAGCTGTCCTCCCTTCTCTATCTCGGATGAAGTCCTTAGTATCCCAGGGCACCTGCCAGTTACAGAAGGAGAAAGTGAGGCAGCAGTGGTGTCGCTCCTTGTGGAAAGTCCCCAGCCCTCTGTGTGTACCTGTCTACACCTGATGGGTTGCCCTCAGAAGCCGTACAGCAGGTGAAGCTGGGCCACCACCATCTGAATCTTATCCCTAACCAAAGACCGCACAGGGCCAGCTTTTCTCCAGGAACTAACCTGGTCCTAAAACAGAAACAGGAGGGCAGCCAATGGAGTTCTGAGGGGAAAGGACAGTAGAGACCTCAGTTATTGCCAGAAACCAGGCCTGACTTTATTCTTCAAGACCCTCCGTTTCTCGCTGAGTGAATTAAAGACCGGGAGGCAGACAATCCCAGATTCTTCTAGACAACAAGCACCTGACTCCTTCCAAGAACATTCTCTCCTGCAAATCCAAGGGAGGAAAATCCTCAAAAACAACCTCAAACAATGACACAAACCAGAAGTTCCTGTTTTCCGTGTTTGGGCAGTGAAAAGATAAGCCACGGAAATGTCCCAGCGAAGTACTACACTGGGTTCCAGAACAGTGAGTTTCCCTCACAGAGGAAAAAAAAGCATTTCCTCTCTCCCAAAGGAACTTTTCCCTCCCATAAAGGCGGAAAGTACGAAGGATTCTCTAGCAGAGAAGTTTGCACTTGCTCTCGTCTAACGGCCTGGGCAAGTCCAGAAAGCTTGTACATTGTCATTCCCACGCTTGCCGTGCCTTCCGACAGGTTTCAGAACTAGAGAGAACACGGCCTGAGGAACTGTGTTCAGAGCAGGTGGGAGAGCGGAAAACAAAGGTAAGAAGAAGAAAAGGACCAGTAGTAGCTAACTTGACTCTGAACAAAAAGAACTCGTATTACTGCGGTATTCCTGGGAGTGGGCACGTTAGCCTAGTGGGAGTGCGCCCCGCCCCCTGAGATTTGCCAGGGCCCTCCCACATTTCCCCACACTCCGGGAACAGGTATTCAAGGCAAAAACGCACAATGTGCCCCAAGTGCGTCACGCCACAGGCATCCTGGCGAGGAAGGGAGTTGTCCCGGCTGCTCAACCATCCCCAACTGACCCTAACCGAGAGAATACGCTGACCTGGAACCCAGGAACCGGTAGGGACCAAACAAGACAATAGGGCCATCAAGAAGGAATTGACAGGCAGAGGATGAGCGCAAACGTCCGAAACAGGGACAGGAAAGGGCAGGTGGAGAAAGAAAGGGCGCACAGAGGAGTGGCGTGGGTCGTCTCTGGCCCTGGAGAGAGAACGCCCGCACACTCACGCAGACACCCACGTCCAGCCCTCAGCCGCCGCGACGCACGGGGGCTGCCCTCCCGGCGGCCCGCTCCCGCGACCCGCACCGTGTTGTAGAACTCGGCGATGGCAGGCACGATGGTGTAGTTGTCCTCGCACCAGTCCACCTCCGAGCTGCCAGCCCGCAGCTGGTCCCACCAGTGCGGGACGCCCATGGCAGCTCTGGGGCATTGGAGCAGCTGCTCCTGCAAGCGAGAAAAACCCAGAGCTGCCAGCAGAGGCAACCCGCGGCCGCGGCGGCTTTATGCAGTACGGGCCAGCCTCCGGATGTGGCGCCTCCCCCGCTGGCCGGTCCCGCGCTCCGCCCCGTCTGCTGAACACGACCCGCCCGCGGACCCCTCCCCGGCCCCGCCCCCAGGAGCCACGCCCACCCTGGGGCGGGATCCGAGGGCACCGGGTTCACGGCCAGCCCAAGACCTTAGGACCAGCTCGCACTTACCTTCTGACTCCGACTCATAGGCATTCTCCAGATGATGTGAAAACCACCAGGGCCCTCCCGTGGCAAAGATGTAAAAGGAGAAACCAGACTCTGAGAGGTGGCACCGATCGGACTTTGCCACACATGGGACACAGGTGTTCACGCCAAGGAAATGATTTGGGTTTCTCCGAGGCAAGGAGGACAAGACTCAGTCGCCAAGGCAGAAAGGCCTTTTGGGCTGCAAAGGCAGGCTCGGCGAGCTCTCCCCACATCCCACCACAAGGTCTGGACCACCCATTCCCCACTCACTGCCAGCCCTCACTCACCTGGTATTAGACTTACATCGAGTCTACGGTGTAGGAGCTCAAGCACAGCGACAAAGTTCAGCCAGCCTACAGAGGACACATGCGGTGACAGGTGAAAGGCTCCAGGTCATCCGGAGTGAACAGGAACATGGCCATGAAGAGCATCTCCTTGGCAGGTCTGAGGACAGTGGCAGAAGAGGCCTTGGACAGTGGATGGCTGCCCTGAGGATATCCTTGCTCTGGCCTGTACACCTTGGTGGGGGGTCTGCAAGGCCAAAACTCTTTTCCCTGTTAGCGATGTGATGATCTACCAAGGTTACAGTGATTTTTCCAAAGCTATGGACTTGCACTGTAACAGCTAATGAAATATGTGCTTGTGTATAAGTCAGCATTAAAAATCTCACCTTAGACTTCTGGGTGGGTTTGTTTGTTTTTTTAAGATTTGTTTATTTATTGGAGAGGCAGGTTCACAGAAAGAGGATTTACAGAGAGGAAGATCTTTGGTCTGCTGGTTCACTCCTCAAGTGGCCGCATTTCCAGAGCTGACTTGAACCAAAGCCAGGAACCAGGAGCTTCTTTTGGGTCTCCAATGCAGGTGCAGTGTCCCAAGGTTTTGAAGCTTTCTCTACTGCTTTCTTAGGCCACAAGCAAGGAGCTGGATGGGAAGGGGAGCAACTCAGACATGAACTGGCACCTATATGGGATCCCATTGAAAGGGGAGAATTTATTCACTAAGCCATTGCACTGGACTGTATAATGTTTTGTACTTGGAATTTTAAAATTCTCGTTGAAGGAGTGCTTTTTAAAAAGACTCATGTATGTAAATGAAAGGCAGAGTTACACAGAGAGAGATCTTCCATTGTTTGTTGACTCACTAAATGTCTCCAAAGCCAGGAACCTGGAATGCCATCTGGGTCCCCCTCATGGGTGACAGGAGTCCAAATACTCAGGTCATCTTCCACTGCCTTCCCAGGTGCATCAACAAGGTACTGGGTCTATCAGAAATGGAACAGCCAGGACATGAACCAGTGCCCAAATGGGATGCTGGCATTGCAGGAGGTAGCCTAATGCAGTGTGCCACAACGTTGGCCCCAAATTGGTGCTCTCAGACTTAGACATATAGTCTCTCTCTTGTGTATTTACAAAAAGACAGACAGAAAGAAAGAAAGAAAGAAAGAAAGAAAGAAAGAAAGAAAGAAAGAAAGAAAGAAAGAAAACATAGACACAAATTGGTTAAGGAATTACTAAATTTTCACATTCAAGATCTTGTTCCAAATCATTTTTCAACTCATAGCTATTGGTGCCGGTGAGTTCCACTCGGAAATATCCTGTTTAATTACCACATACTGATCAGTTACATTTCTTAACAGCATGTCACACATGTTTTCTTGCATGTGACTGACATCTGCACGTTTTGATACCAAGATTTCCTTGGTTTTATCCAAAGGTATCGATGAAAGGTATCAAACAGCAGGCAGCGTGTTCTTTCCCAGGTGGTCCTTAGACAATTGATGGCAAAAACCATTGAGAATTTTAGCTACAGAATTCCCATCAAAAATAACCTTCAAGTTGGTGCTTGTACAGGCAGTGACAGTACCTCACGACCACTGTTGGGTCAAATATGATCATAAAGCCACCCCTTGGGGCCCCCTTGCCCTGAACACACTGGGATCCCATATGGACGCCGGTTCTAATCCCGGCAGCTCCACTTCCCATCCAGCTCCCTGATTGTAGCCTGAGAAAGCAGTCAAGGGCAGCCCAAAGCTTTGGGACCCTGCACCCACATGGGAGAGCTGGAAGAAGTTCCTGGTTCCTGGCTTCGGATCGGCACAGCACCAGCCGTTGCGGTCACTTGGGAAGTGAATCAACAAACAGAAATCTTCCTCTCTGTCTCTCCTCCTCTTTGTATAACTGACTTTGCAATAAAAATAAATAGATCTTTTTTAATAAAAGCCACCTCTTGGCAGATGCATCAGGATTTTGGAGCTGTTAGATGCAAAACCTTTTGTTTGGGTCAGTGAAAACATGAAATGGACTGGTTGTAATTCATTCTTCTCTCCAATCTTGATTGATGGTATTTTTTCCCATCCTCCACAGGAAACTATTGTAGTTACTAGCAATTCTGGTTCAATGTCAAAGTTCACCACCTTGGTTTTTTCCAATTATAACTGCACAGAGACAGTGCTGAAGCCAAGGAGAAGCAAATTAGATTCCTCCAAAGCCATCATCCTGGCCCTTCTGGCTGCAGACATTTTTCTGATATTTTCACCAACTCCCCACTGCTAGCATTTTAGGTTCAATATAACCTTTGTAATTTAACATGAGGATCTATTGTTGAGTAGTTAATTTTGAAACTGATTTCTACATGGGCTACTACTCAATGTGTTCAGTAGGAAATTCTGATATTTATTATTTTTTTAAAGATTTATTTTTATTATTTTTTTTATTGGAAAGGCAGATATACAGAGAGGAGAGACAGAGAGGAAGATCTTCCGTCCGATGATTCACTCCCCAAGTGAGCGCAACGGGTCGATACTATGCCGATCCGAAGCCAGGAGCCTCTTCCGGGTCTCCCACGCGGGTGCAGGTTCCCAAGGGTTTGGGCTGTCCTCGACTGCCTTCCCAGGCCACAGGCAGGGAGCTGGAAGGGAAGCGGGGCTGCCGGGATTAGAACCGGCGCCCATATGGGATCCCGGGCGTGCAAGGCGAGGACCTTTAACCACTTGTGCCACCGCGCCGGGCCCTCTGATATTTATTATAAACAGAGTTTGTTAGTAAAGGAGTGGGGTGCTGTGGCAGCAGGAGACATCGCACAGCCGAGCCCCAAGAGGTATGCACCTCTGGCGCTTTGGGTCTGAGTTTGAAAGCAGTCAATGATGGAGAACATGAGAAAGCACCTTTTGGGGGAGCAGCCTTGGAGAGAAGGAAGAATGCCAGCATCTTCCATTTTTACACGTTGTTTAACAATGTTTGCTTGGCATGACTAAATACCTGATAAGAAATATCCAGCTCAACTGGTTTCCCAGGTGGAAGTTATTAAGTCACAAAGTCTTCACTGGGAAAAACAAAACAAAACAAGAAATGCAGGCACCCGAGTAAATGAAGCTAATCCTGCCTGATCAAAGATGAAATTTTCTGTAAGTTTCTGTCTGTCCAGAGTGGAGCACTGTGGTCTTCTTTGGGGGTCCATTATTATGAAGCCCAGACCAGAAACATCAAAATCATCTGGAAACTTTCTTTTTTTTCTTTTTTTCTTTTTTTTTTTTTTTTTAAAGATTCGTGTACTTTCCTTGAAAATCAGAGTTTCAGAGAGAGAGGGAGAAACCGAGAGATCTTCCTTCGGCTGGTTCACTCCCCAAATGGTGGCAGTGTTCAGGTTCAATGGGTCTGAAGCTGGGAACCAGGAATTTCCTCCAGATCTCCCATGTGGGTGCAGAGATCAAAAAGCCTTGACACATCATTCGTTGCCTTCCAAGACCGAATGCAGGGAGCTGGATCAGAAATGGAACAACCAGGACTAGAACCAGCACCCAACACGGGATACCAGCGCCATAAAAAGATCTTGGGCCTCTGAACCCAGTCATCTAGTGTAACAAGTCCTCAAGTGATTACAAATAATGTGAAGTTGGAGAACTACTGTTTTAGTCCATGGGTGACAGGATAAAAAAATGTACCATGAATTGTACACTTTGCTTTCCCAAAATAACAAATCCATGCCAAGACTGCTGCTACCACCAATGAGAGGGAGAAAAGAACAGCCCAATTGAAAGGAACCAGGGGTTCTGAGTCTGCCTCCACTCCTTCAGCTACAAAGGTGCTATAAGACAGCAAGGATGTGTTTGGGGCTTTTCTTTGTTTATTTGTTTGTTTTTTAAATCCATAGCAGTCTTGGGGCTCAAAAATACAGGAGAGGCCCTTGCAAAATAAACTCCCACCAGGAAAACTGTATTACTGCCATTATGAGCAGGTACCTATGTTTGCTGGATCAGGTGACTTCTTGCTTACTGACCGGCTCTCCAGGGCCAGCACGCTGCCTGCTCTTGCCTCTAGACCTCATTGAAGAAGTGTCTGTCTGCTTCCTCTAACCTACACCGCAAAAGCACAAACAGGGTTACGACTAGGAGTATAATCAAGGTAAGTGGGTTCGGACAGGAAGCGGAAAGCTTTGCCTGTGCCTGAAGAGCATGGAATGGGTGAAGTATATTTTGACTGGTGTTTCTGGAAAGAGGACATGTCCTTTGATTAGCTGACTGTAACCTGTAAAGAAGGTAGAACAAGCAAAGTGAAACATATGCTTCTTACAAACTTCTATATTAAGTGTTAAATAATGAAAAAGCTAGTAAGATACTGTTCCGGGCCTGATGGAGCTTAGTCTATTAGAGACACACAGAGAAGAATACTCTGGTTGCTCTGCAGATTGTATAAATCTTTCACCCTTTACTAGAGACACACAAAGAAACAGAGAACAACACAATGATAATTGCTAAAATAGAGGCATATGCATAAGACATAGCAGCTCAAGTCCATGTGAAGGGTTATGGGTTAAAGGAAACTGAAATATTGAGATGTGCGATGGGAGTTG